GTCCTCACGCGCAGGGCGCAGTTCCCGCTTCTGCCCCTCGCCTCGGCCCGCCCGCCCTGCCGGGGTCCCCGGGCATCTCCCACAGCCCGGCTCCCTGGTGCGGCCCCGAACCGACTCCCCTGTCCATGCTGCAGGCACAGGTCCAGTGGGGGGGCAGCCTGGTCCGGGGCCCGTGGGCGGCCTCGAGGCCCTGGGCCCTGGGGGAGCACGTGGGAGCCCAACTGCGCAGCCCCAGGCCAGAGGGCCCAGGCCGTGGGAAGTGGTGGTACAGTGTCAACATGAAGCCTCCTGCCCAACCACAGGCGTGTGTGGAGGTGAGGGGAGGTCAGGCGTGTGGAGGTGAGGGGAGGTCAGGCGTGTGGAGGTGAGGGGAGGTCAGGCGTGTGGAGGTGAGGGGAGGTCAGGCGTGTGAGGAGGTGAGGGGAAGTCAGGCGTGTGGTCGGGACACAGGAAGGTTTCCAGGCAGCAGCCGCTCAGCTCCATCAGGTCGCTGTCCAGCGGGCGTAGAGGAAGTGAGCAGAGCACATGGACAGATCCGTGCGACCCCTCCAGATAGCCTGGAGCAGCAGAGCACAGAGGCCAGGCTTGGCAGTAGCCCAACATGAAGAGGTCAAGGGTCAGCGAGAGAGCTCAGTGTCAGAGGACCCAAGTTACTACACTTCCTGAAGAAAGGAGGTGTTCAGCAGATGCTGAAGCCCATTGGTCCGCTGGAGCAGGTGACTGGCAGGGGTCAAGGTCACCGTGACCTTGCTGTGTGGAGGCAGGGAGGGCAGACAGCTTCCCGGCATTGCAGAGGGCAAGCAGGCATGAGGGGGGAAAACTCCATTGTGATGATTATCTGTGTGTGTACACACACTCACACACACAGGGGAAATCTGATGTATAAGGGTTTCAGACGGAGGCTAGACAGGGATAGCTGATGGGGCTGGGCGAAGGTGGACTCTGTCCTGGCTTCAGGTCAGCCTGACTCATCCCCTAGCCAAATCAGACTGACTTAACAGCCCTTCTCCATGAGCACCAGGAGCCTGCTAGCATGCCACCTCCTGTCTGTCATCCTAGCTGCCCAGAAGGCCCAGGTCTGAGGGTGGACGTGGGAAGGCAGCCTGGGCAGGGAAGTCCCTCAACCAGCAAAAAGCCAGAAGTGGACGTATGGCTCAAGTGGTAGAGCTGCAGCCTTGAGCAGAGAAAGTCAAGGGTCAGCATCCAAGGCCCACGTTCTGGCACATACACAAAGTCACTGTGTCTGCAGCCAGGTTAGGTACTGAGCACTGCTGGAGATGCAGCAGTGTCCTCCGACTCTCAGGCTAGTTCCTTGCTTTATGCAAGACTATTATTTGCCCAGTCATGGGTAACTCTATGGAGACCTCGTTAAAGGAGCCTAGTGTATGTTACGGCAGACAGACTTGAAGACAGGAGCTTGGGGCTGGAGGCATGGCCCAGTTGGTAGAGTGCCAGCCAGGTACCAAATGTGAGTCCAAAAAAACCCAAAACAAAACAAAAAGAAGAAATAAAGACACAAGCTTCAGTATACACGGCTCTCAGCCAAGAGCTATTTTTCCCTCAGGTGAACGTTTATCTTGAGCCGTGGGAACATCCAGGGGGCAGAGGATGAAGCTCCTCCCAGGCCGGGACCTCACCTCCATCCAACAAAGAACTTCCTGTCCTAAAGGTCAGCAGGACACGGTTAAGAAACACTGCTGCAAAGAGGGGTGATAGAGAAGCAGGCCAGTTTATCCGTGCTCAGCCTGGGCACGCTAGCAACATCGCCTCAAAACACATAAAACAACAACAACAAAGCTTGCGCCAGATGCCAGTGGCTCACGCCTGTCATCCTAGCTACTTAGGAGGCTGAGATCTGAGAATCACGGTTTGAAGCCATCATGGGCAGGAAAGTCCCTGAGACTCTTCTCTCCAATAAATTACCCAGAAAAAGCCGGAAGTGGTGCTCTGGCTCAAGTGGTAGAGCGCTATTGAGCACAAAGAAGCTCAAGGATAGTGCCCCCAGGCCCTGAGATCAAGTCCCAGGACTGAAACACACACACACACACACACACACACACCAGACAAGAGCTAAAAGAAACAAATGCACAAGATTTCACCACTATCATTCTTTTTTTTTATTATTATTAAAGAAGCAACTTTATTGAGAAGGTTCCTACACTGACAGGCCAGGGCCGCAGCACAGGCTCGGGAGATGATACTGCAACCCCCCCTTTTTTGGGGGGGGGTCAGATCGTGGGGCCTGAACTCTGGGCCTGGGCGCTGCCCCTCAGCTCTTCAGCTCAAGGCTAGTGCTCTATCACTTGAGCCACAGCGCCACTTCCGGCTTTTTTCCTTATGTGGTGCTGAGGAATCGAACCCAGGGCCTCAGGCATGCAAGGCAAGCGCTCTACCACTGAGCCACCTTCCCAGCCCCACCACTATCATTCTTTTAGGAACTGATGGATTTAAAATCAGTATGTAGCCAGGCTCAGTGGTTGATGCCTGTAGTCCCAGACAATCTGGCCCCACTCTGGAGATGGAGATCAGGCTGATGGTGGGGACAGTGCTAGTAAGGCTCTCCTTAACTGCAAGTGGGGTGCCTGCTGTCCCGGTATGTGGATGAAGAGGGTAGGCTGAGGGAAGAGGCGTCTGAGGCTATCTCGAGCAAAAACACTGTGCGGCCCATCCAAACATGACTGAAAATCAACACGAAGTTTAAAAAGGCTGTGATCATAACTCAAATGGTTCAGCACAGAACCCTGAAGTCACACCCTAGTGCGGGGGGGGGAGACAAGACTATAGATGACTCAAAAACCCTTATGGATACATTGAGAGTGCAGTACAAGCATCTACTGAAGATACATTATTTCCAAATACAAAAGAACACTTATCAAAACTGGCCATGTGCTGGAAAGTCCCAATAGCTTCCAAAGGATTAAAATTGGACTTGACCCTGAGAACTTAAACTAGGAAATTCCCAAATACTTGGAAACTAAACAGTATTTTCATGACCAGTTTTATATAACCTGCGATTCAAGGAAGAAATTACAATGGAAATTAAGATATTCTCTGAATTGATTTATATTGGAAACTCAATGTCTATAAGCCTGTTAGATAAAATGAAAGCTGTTTAGAGACTTGTGAGTGTAATGGGGGACAAAAACATGAACAAGCCATCTCAAGAAATCAGACGGTCAGATACTTGAAGCGACCAGAGCCTACCAGGGCCGCCTTGCGTTCATCTATTTGTCCAGGGCTTCGACTCTCGTGACCCATCTGAGCTCCTGGGTGCCGAGGGGGTGTGTGCTGGGGGAGGGGGGACGGCCCTTCCTCCCGGTCAGGGCAAAGGTCCTGTGCCTGGCACCAGACTCAGGTGAGGGTTGCGGGCAGTGCCCGTCGGGCTCCTCCTAGTTAACCGTGCAGAACAATGCCTCAGGATTCCTTTCATGTTTTTCAATGGAGCCCCAGCAACTTGCTTCCTCTTTTTCTTTTTTGGGGGGGCTTAAACTCTGGGCCTGGGCGCTGTCCCTCAGCTCTTCAGCTCAAGGTTTTCTGTACGGTTTATTGGAGATAAGAGTCGCGCAGACTTTCCTGCCCAGGCTGGCTTTGAACCGTGATCCTCAGATCTCAGCCTCCTGAGTCGCTAGGATGACAGGCGTGAGCCACCAGCGCCTGGCTTTGCTTCCTCTTTATTATCTTTGATCACATAGAACTGCTCCAGCTTTGTTGACAACTCTTCCCGCTCACCGACTAAGGTGGCTAATTGTCTACATCCCCCCAAAATCGTTTAAGGTCAACTTTCTGTCCCGTGACAACAGATGTACCTTCTATGCCCTATGCCGTATATAAGCAGACGATGTTGCAATAAACTTTGTCTATACCCGCATGGTGTGGTCCCTTTCTGCCTCCAGACGCTGCCTTCTGGGTCTCGCTGTGTGAACAGCAACAGACATGAATGTGAATAGTCCTGTAGATGAAAGCTGTCTCTGTGAGTTCCCAGGCTTAGATGACTTCAGACCTGAATCACATCAAACGTTTTAAGGAAGAGAGAGCCCTTACATCACAATGCAGGGTGGAAGAAGAGGGGACATGTCCTAACTTCTTTTGTAATAAGGTATGCATGCACGTGTGCGTGTGCACACACACACACACACACACACTTGCAGAAGGAGAGGGGAGGTAATTAAGCGTCAAGCTAAGGCTCTGCTCTCCGCAGCAGGCACTCTGCTATGAGAGCCAGCCCTCTAGCCTTTTGCTTTAGTTTGTTCTCAGTTAGTTTTCCCTTTAATTTGCATTTTTGTCTGAGGCTGGCCCCTGACCGCCATCCTCCTCCCTCAGCCTCTCGATCTACTGAGATTACAGGCAGGTATCACAACACCTGGCCCAGGGATTTCCTTAGAACAGAAGTTAGCTTCTAAAGACCTATAGGAAATATCATACTTAATGGTGAAATATTAGAAAAATTTCCCATAATTGGGAATAAGACAAGGATATCTTTTTGTTGTTGTTGTTGTTGGTCGTGGGGCTGGAACTCTGGGCTTGGGCGCTGTCCCTGCGCCCTTCAACTCAAGGCTAGTGCTCTACTGCTTGAGCTACAGCGCCACTCTAGTTTTCTAGTGGTTTATTGGAGGTAAGAGTCTCACGGGGCTGGGAAGGTGGCTCAGTGATAGAGTGCTTGCCTTGCATGCCTGAGGCCCTGGGTTCGATTCCTCAGCACCACATAAGCAAAAAGAAAAAAAGCCAGAAGTG